CGCGCGCTGGCCAGGCTGCCGCCGGGGAGCAGCGACCCCGCGGACTACTGCAAGGTGGCTTTGTTTGGGTGGTAATTTTGGGTCCCTCTTGGGAGCCCTTAATGATCAGAAAATCGAATAAACAAGGAAATCCGGTATTTCACACCCAGCCCTGGCCCAGGCCGGAGCGTCTGTGTGTTTCCTCTTCGCCTCCCCACGAGGCTGCTGTCTCATACGGGTATACCAGAGGGAAATTTCCCCCTCATCCACGCGAGTCAGCTAGTTATGTGCTCTTGGTCCAGCTAGCAAAGGCAGCACACCCGCCCTGGGAGCCAGATCTGCAGACAAAGATCCGGTGCGGGGACCAACGAAAAACCTGGGATGATGCCTTGGCCTTCTGTGGGAAGTCAATGGCTTTCTGGGAGAATCCTGCCACTCCTGTCCCAAGAGGAGATGGGGCTAGGAAGGGAGGAAGAGGTGTATCTGAGGTGCTTCCCTCTGAGAGGGCAGGAGGGTGTGATGTGGATGCCCCATCCTCAGACACTCAGACAAAAATTGAGCAGGGGAGGGTTGCCTAGACTTATCTGGGGTTCCATTCTCAACAGCTCTGGGACTTGAGCCGGCAGAAATGAGACAGGGAGAGGACATGGCTGGGTGGGTTCTATTGGGAGGGGTACACAAAGGTGCAGGAGCAGGAAATGCTGTGAAATTGAGCCATCTGTGTTCTTTGTGCTGGGTGGAGACGCTTTACACCTCACCACCTCTCCCAGTTTTTGCTTTGGTTTTTTCTCTTTGAGAGGGGTGTATTGGCAGCAGCGTGCCAATCTGGGGCTGCTCACCAAGGTAGGGGTGTGGAAAGAACGTCTATCTCTGCCCCAGCCCTGTATGATGGAGGGGGCGGGGGATTGTCCAGGTCTAGGGTAGGTCTCTCAGGTCTCTAGATCCCTTGGGTCATATGTGACCCAGATTCCAGGGACCCGGGGAGGTTGCTCCTAGACAGAGTCAGAGATGGCAAGGAAAAAGCTTTCCTCTTCCTGCCCCAGGGCAGATGCCCCTCGGCACGGCCACCTGGCTGGCCCTCTGCAGCCCAGAGAGGAGCTGACACTGATCAGTGCTCAGCTGGAGGGAAGGAGATTGAGGCGCCCCCACCCATGCACCCTAGGCAGCACTCAAGAATCACTTGAGAACAGCTTTCCTGGCCCTGAGCAGCCAGAGAGACAAAGAGGAGCCCTGCAGGTGCCTGGTGGGCTGGCTGGGGCGGGGCCAGGCTGCTGCTGGGGCTGACATTGCAGCAGGATCTTGTGGAGGTCGAGGGAGGGTTGCATGGCCGGGGGTGGGAGTGAGAAATGTAAATATGGCATCTGCAGCAGATTGGGAGAGTCCAAGAACACCATAAAAGGGAAATGAAGCTCTGGCCCCTCTGGCCCCCACCCATTGTGAACGAGGACTGGGAAGGAAGGGGCTTGGGGGTGCCCTTTCCACAGGGGGGGTTTCCTTTAGATTCCATCTTGCTGGAGAGAGCTAAACAAAGGCCCCCACCTCTGTTCAGGGTCTCCAGGCTGGACTGGGGTGAAAAGATGTGGGTCTCCCACCCGGGGAGCCTCATGGGATTGGCACAGTGAGGATAAGCTGATGTTCTCTTCCCACTGCCACCTCTAGAGGCTTCCCGGGACCCTTTCTGCAGAGAAGGGATCATGTCTGCCCTCTGCACCCAGTTCACGGCGATGTGTGTCATCTCTGGTTCCCAGTCAGATTGCCCTAAGTGGGGGCAAAGTTGCTGATCTGTATGGGGGGTGGGGCATTTGAGCATCAGAAGTCAGTCTTGCAGGGTATCCGGGAAGGTGAGGGCCCCACCCACTCCTCCCCTCCCACCCCAGCGTGAGCGCCCAGCCCGGGCACACGCCAGACCTCAATGGGCAGCCGGCCGTGGAAGGCAGACGATGTCTGGACAGAACCCAGTTTCTAATCAGAGAGCTTAGGACTGAGCTGGGGCTGGGCTGGGCTGGGAAGGAGAGCAGATGGTGCCAGTGACGGGCTGTAGGGGGAGTTCTCCTTGTTTTTAGATCCTCTTCTACCCCTCCTCCCCTGCAGCACCCCCAGAAATCACTTCTCTCACCTGAAAGACTGGGTGGTGGGCTGCACTAGAGTAGAGCATTTATGGGAAGGGCAAGGCTTGTCCAGGGTCTAGTCCAACCCCAGGGCTCACTGCCTCCTGCCAGGTCTGGCTGTCTTTCTGACTTTATGGAAGTCCTTTCTTGTATCCAACTGAAGTGCTTTCTGAATTTCCATGAGAATAACTTGTAGCGAGCCTGGAGTCCAACTCTTCAGACAAGGAAGACCAGGAATGAGACAGGCGTGGTCTGATGTGTGTGTGCGTGTGTGTGTGTGTGTGTGTGTGTGTGTGTGTGTGGAGGAGAGAGGCCCCAGGACTATTAGACGAGGTGAGAAGTGCCAGGCCCAAGACTCTTGGCCTTGCAATCTGTTTGGGATGAGGAGATCGAAGCTGGCTGGCTGTGGAATGCTTCAGTGAAGGCCTGGGCTCCTGGAGAGCCGGAGGAGGAAACTTTCAGGACCTGGGTCTGGGGTAAGGGAAGAAGGTCCAGGGGTGAGCAGACCCCAAAAGCCCTACCTCGTGGCCTCCCCAGCTAGATGGAATCTGGCCCATCTGTCCCTGAACCCAGGCTAGTCGGCTTTGCACCAAGGGATTCCCAGGCCGGCCTCTCCAGCCTGCCCTGTGATCCCTTTATCCATTAATCCCCTTGTACTGTAAAGATTCTCAGCTTCCTGGGCTGGACTAGAACTGGCCGTTACCTGGGGGAGGAGGTGTGTAACAAGGCTAGAGAGAGGTGGGGCGGAGCTGTGACCTGCCCCAGGCTGCAGAGATACAGGCCTGACAAATGTGGGGAGAAAGGGGTAGCTGTTAAGAAATGCAAGTTGGCAAAATTAAAATTGGGGAAGGAAGCCAAGTCACATGGAAGTTTGTTTAAGACCCTTTCAAGTCCCCAGCTCTGAGCCCCCACCATGAGAGGAGACCTCGGTGTTGCCTAGCCCCCTCCCCTCTTATCTCTGCCTGGCTTCCCTAAGCTTCCTTCCTTTAGTCTGCTTGGCAGTGCTTGGCCGGCCCAGCATCCATCTGTTGAGACTACAGGGTTAAGTAGGGGATAGGGAGGGGTTTGGGGGGGGTGGCCCAAGGGACCCAAGGGACAATGTTAGATTGTACCCCTGCCCTCTCCCATTTGGGTTCTCTAGCTGCAGTTATTTCCCTAGTTCTAGGTTACTCTGAAATCTTGGTCAATGACTGTCTGAATTTTGAACCAAGAGCAGTGGTGGCTTGGGAGAGAAAGACTAAAGAAGATCGAAGAAACTGTAGGGGAATGGGCATTTGGGGTGCCTTCCGAGTCCCAAAGCCAGTCAGTGCCATTCAATGCCACCTGTGTCCAGTTTACAGCTCTCGGAAACTGAGGCCCATACAGGGCCTCGTGTAGGCTGTGTGGAGACCTGAGAATCTTGGTGCTGGCCTCCTGCTGCAGAAATAGGGTTTATGTCATCATAAGGAAGTGGAGTGTAGTAACCACAGGCCCCGGAAACCTCCCCCTCCACCACCCAGCCTGACTGCCGGATTGGATCTCAGCTTTTGAAAACCTCCAAGTGGAGGTGGGGCGGGGCCCAGGCCGGGGCCAGGGAGGTGGCAGAGGTGATATGTGCCTGGCATGCTTATTTTTGCAACCCTGGGGGCAAAGGGCAGAGCAGGAGCTGATGCAGTTCATCTACTGGCTGCGTCATGGGCGCCTTCCCTGTTTGTCTTTGTGGGCCTCAGTTTTACCCACTGGAAAATGGGAACAGCCACTGTGTTCTGGTTTGTTCATTTGTGAAGAGCAGTGGCTTGGAGAAAGACAGACATAAAATCTTTGGAGGCAATAAAACGCAGAGTAGATTCCTGAGGAATTGAATATAAATAAAATGTTTTTTAAAAAATAGGCCCTAGGCCAGGCGCAGTGGCTCATGACTGTAATTCACACTTTCGGATGCCGAGGCAGGTGGATCACAAGGTCAGGAGTTTAAGACCAGCCTGACCAATATGGGGAAACCCCGTCTCTGCTAAAAATATAAAAATTAGATGGGCATGGTGGCATGCGCCTGTAGTCCCAGCTACTCAGGAGGCTGAGACAGGAGAATCAC